CAAGAAAAATGGTGAAACCAGTAACACTTTTTCTGCTATCTATACAACTAGCCCAGTCACTGTCACTGTAGGCAATTAAATTTAAAGAGGAAGATCTGGGGAAGAGAATACCTTGACCAACTGACCCCTTGATGTACCTCAATATTCTATGGGCAGCAGATAGATTAACAGAAGTAGGATTGCTCAAAAACTGACTCAAATATTGTACACTATATGAAATATCCGGTCTAGTGATGGTTAAGTATAAAAGTTTACCAATTAACTTTCTATACTCAGAAGAATCTACCAGATTATTCAAATCAGTTTGAGCAGAAAATTTACAAGTTAAATCCATTGGGGTTAAAGCAGGCTTACTGCCCAAAAAACCTGTGTCTTTGAGAATGTCCAATGCATATTTCCTTTGACACATGTTTATGCCATGTTCAGAATGAGCAAATTCAATACCTAGAATGTATTTCAGTTGCCCAAGGTCTTTGATGGTAAAGCGGTTATGCAAATGTTGTTTGATTGTAGTAATTAAAGACATGTTATTACCATAAACAATGACATCATCTACATAAACAAGTAATGTTATGAAATCAGAATTGACAGAAAATGTGAACAATGAGCAGTCAGCAACAGACTGTTTAAAGCCATAATCAAGTAAGCATGATGTCAATTTTTGGAACCACTGCCTTGAGGCCTGTTTAAGGCCGTAGAGGCTTTTCAGTAACCTGCATACTTTCTTATCAGATTTATCAAGATAGCCAGGGGGAGGGGATATATAAACTTCTTCATTTAAGTCACCATGCAAAAAGGCATTATTAACATCTAATTGGTGAATGTGCCAATGTTTAATAGATGCTAAAGCAACAAGAAATCTGACAGTTGTAATTTTTGCCACTGGTGAAAAAGTGTCAAAGTAATCTATGCCTTCCTCTTGAGTATAACCCTTTGCTACTAACCTAGCTTTATACCTTTCAATGCTACCGTCAGATTTGTATTTGATTTTGTAAACCCATTTACACCCTATGGTGTGTTTATCATTTGGTAAATCAGTCAGAACCCAGGTTTGAGTTTTTTTCTAAAGCTTGAATTTCTTTATCCATGGCTTCTTGCCATAATGGATCTTTAACAGCTTGAGAATAAGTTTTGGGTTCTGATTTTGTAGAAATGGCAGCAGTAAAACATTTATGAGATTCAGAAAGATTAGAAGTAGATAAATAGTCAGAGATAGGATATAAAGATGTACCAGAAATGCATTGTAGAAGATTGGAAGAGAATAATGGTTGAGTAGGGAGATTGTGAGTGTATATGTCAAGATAGGCAGGGGCTTTCCTTTGTCTAGTAGACTTTCTTAGTTGTTGATGAGAAATAGTAGAAGCAGTAGTAGTAATATTAGGATTGGTGGTGCTGGTACTTGGAGAAGCAATAGTAGTAATATTAGGATTGGAAGGAGGTGTGTGTAGAATGTTTGTATTTGTAGTTGAGCTGAGGGTAGTTGAGGGTAATGTTTGAATAGCTGTATGATTAGGAATATCTGTATCATGTGAGAAAGTAGGTGGAGAAGGAAACAATAGTTGGTTTGGAGGGTCAGAAGCTGTTTTGAAAGGAAATATATCTTCATAGAAAATGACATTTTTGGAAATTAGTGTTTGCTTTGTATCAAGGTTGTAAATTCTATAGCCTTTACAACCTAGAGGATACCCAAGCAATATACATTTTTAAGCTCTGGGTTCAAATTTGTTTCTGTTTGCAGTCAGGGTAGAGGCATAGCATAGACATCCAATGACTTTTAAGTGATCATAAGAGGGTGGCTTGTTAAAAAGCATTTCAAATGGAGATTTGTTTTGCAAAACAGAAGATGGTGCTCTATTTATAATGTGAGCAGCAGCCAAAATACAGTCAATCCAGAAATGAATTGGTAGAGATGTATGAAACATTAATGCTCTAACTACTTGAAGCAAGTGTTGGTGTTTTCTTTCCACTCTACCATTTTGCTGTGGAGTTTCCACACAGCTTGTTTGATGTAAAATGCAGTTTCATTGAAAAAATCATAAAGATGAAACTCTGTTCCATTATCTGATCTAAGAGTTTTGATTTTTGTATTAAACTGAGTAATGACCATATTGAAAATGAAGAATGAACTTCTTAGTATCAGATTTGGAAATTAATGGATAGATCCAAGTAACTCTACTATAGTCATCAACTATAGTTCGAAAGTACTTGAATCCTGAGTGTGATGTGACAGAAAAAGGACCCCAAAGGTCACAATGAATAAGTTCAAAAGGCATTGTAGACATAGAATGACTTAATTGAA